TGTAGAAAAGAATGTTACATGACTGAAGTGACAATGTAATACTTATGAGGGCGCCATTTCGGTAAAATCTGAAAATACTACGCTATTGTATCAAAAATATTGGTGACAAAACACAGTTTATTTCTTTCCTTCAGTTACATGTATAGCAACATTATTAGTGCCCAGTGGCTGCCTGGATGGATGACAATAGAGAGAATTATCCACCGAGTAGCACCTAATAGATGTACAAGGCTGTGAATCAAAAAGCTGCCTGGACGGATGGCAATAAAGTTAGTCATTCTCCTGGGCAGATGTCGGTCCGGTCCGCTAGTTAATCACGATCTAAAGTAAATAATAAAATAATAATGTTATATTTATATAGCGCATATTGCACATTGCCCCTATGCGCTTTACAGAGAAATAATATAGTAAAGTATGACGTAATTACAAGCGCTGGCGTAAAGTAGAAGTAGAAACTTGACAACTGAGATATAGATCGCTCTATCAAGCATAAACTTAATAGCCTGAAATGGAAGTGGTTGAGCCACATTCATCGTCTTCTTTTAAAATAAGACGCTTTTAATGTAGACGCAACAGCTGGACTTACCTTTAGCCTTGCATTTACGTCTTCAAATCTTATTAATGATGATCATAAATGGTTTGAAAGAGTGCATAGTAAATCGCAGAGAAAATTATTATATGAAAATAAACCATTACTTGTTTGAAAAATACTTAAATGATAAAAATCACGTTAAGGGAGTAAGCTTTAAATGTACAGCTAGGTCCAACTGTTTAGATCTCGATGGACGACAACTTGCCTGGTAAACTATGTAGATATGGGTCCATTGAAAATACAGGCCTCCCTGTAATTGGTGACCACTTCCAATTAAAGACCACGTTTTGTGGTCCCAAATTAAAAATTTCCTTTTATCTATATTATTCTAATTAGAGATCAAAGCTGCTAAAGACCATGGAACCCAGGTTTCAAAAGTGGTCTTTAATTGAAGGGAGACATTTTGGAATGTTCAGATCTAGAAAATGTTAGGTGTTGAGTTTTTTTTTTTTTTTTGTTTTTTTTTTTAGATTACAGCCCCCCCCCCCCACCACATTGGAAAACATCATACAGGAACACTAGCAAATATTTTAATGGTTCGACTGACCTAAATCTTCACACTACTTACTCGACAATTTTTTTTTCACAACACACTACACATGGTATTATTTTTCGATAAATTCTGTAAGATACCGGTATATTAAAGATGAATGGACAAGACAAGCTTAAATATTAATAAACCCTGCAAATCATATTAAATTTTGTTTACAAATAATTATTAGATTTAAGTGGTATTGCTTTGGTAGAGGTAATGTAGGCCTACTTGTTTTTTTTTTTGGTCTAGTCTGAACAGCTTCCCGACTGTCGAACATGGCGAACATACTGGTTTTACCTGAGCATTTTTTTATGATGTTTGTATGTATGTCAACTTGTATTATATTTTGTTCATTTGGATGAACCCCAGATTCGATGGACAAACTAGAACAAAATATACATTGTTGTGCACTTTTATGTTTCATTTTATATAGTTCTAAAGTTTATGTTACTTGGATGCACCGAGCATTCGTGTGCCACTGTCAAAAGTGATTAAAATACCGTACAGTAAATTGATTATTATTATTATTATTATTATTATTATTATTATTATTATTATTATTATTATTATTATTATTATTATTATTATTATTATTATTATTATTACTATTATTATTATTAAAATATTGCTCTCAAAAAAATATATAAATGTATTTCCGATAATGATACAAGAGGAAAAGAATGAACAGTTTCAATAGTTGCAGTACCCATACATTTAAATTAGAGAAAAAATAAAAAATAACTTTCAATTTTACCATTATAAAACAAACTCAGTGCCCAACACTGCTTGTTTGCGGCAAGATGAATAAGGTTTTCAAGATCTTTTAAGTTTATTAATTGATTGATACAAGCAAAACTACGCCACCAGTTAAAACACCGATTTCACAACTTTACTATATTACATATTACAGAGGGCGCTATCTACCAAAGTGTTGGGGAGGGGATCGTCATTAGGCCCTACAATCAAAATTGCGGCCTTTGTAAGAAACCGTTCAAAAGCTTGTTTGTATATTTTGATGGAATGTTTTATTGATGATGTGGACAAACATCGTTTTAAATACAACAGAAGACGTAACGGAAGACTCGATCACGCATTCCATTTGATTAATAATAATAGTGTAGTTTTTATATAGCGCACAAATCCATCTAATGTAAGATGCTCAGGGCGCTTGAAATGTGGACTAGGAACTCGATCAATTAGAATCAATTTATAACAGGCAGCTTAAAAAAATAATTAGTTTATATTAATGAACAAGGCCTAGCTAGGCCTACGTTTAATAACTGTCAATTTGATTACATTAGCCGTTTATTGACTCTACCCTACCATGAATTGACTCGCTGCACATGTTGAACTAACTGTTTACAATACCATACTATAAAACACTATGTATTCTTTCATCAAACCAAAGATTTTATCCAAACAAAACCAACAAACAGATACAATGCTAAGAGAAAGTTACAAGATTAAAGAACCACTAAGGAAACACTTTATAATAAAATATTACCTTTGAGGCAAGGCCTAGGTCAAAATTATATATACATGTTGATATATAAATATTACTTAGCAGATCTCATTTTAAAGTAGCGGGTCATTGCTCTATTTTGGAATGTTTTTGTTTTCTATTTTAATGAATCAGATAATTATTTTACTAGCATATTTCCAACGGCGGTGATACTACTGAATATGCGAAAGCTCCAAATTTGGAGATATGGCTTTCGTCGGTAAAGGTTGTCAGGAATGATCAAGGAAAAGAAGTGAGTTTTATAACTTCAAGGAAGAGGCGCAATACAAATGCTTATCCCAGCAAGGGCGGCGCCAGAAATTCCCCGAGAAGCGGTCCAAGCTGCCCGACAAGAGGCCCACACCTCCCCACCCCAGTCGAAGAAGCTTGCACTTCCCCCACCCTCGTCGGGGAAAATTGTATTAATTATGGTATTCTTTATTTAAAAAGGATAATTTGATAGAAAACCATGCAAGTTAAAAAGTCGGGGGTACTAACCGTCTGTCGGAGGTACCATCCCCCTGTCAGGGAAAATCTGGCCCTACCACCGGGGCAACCCATATGATTGCGATGATATACAACACCTCGCACATACGGTAGCACTGCTCACACTAAACAGTTTTTAATCCCCAAAATTTCACAGGTAAGGAAGGCATACCTTAGTTGTACTTTCGGTCGAGATTTCATTTTCCCCGACGACCTTTGCTGGAAATTTCCTGACAGGGTGGTGGACTGTCTCTTATACACATCTAGATGTGTATAAGAGACAGGAACTGCCCAAAGAGGTCCTTTGCCCTCCTGGGCCCCCTGTGTACTAGTGCTAGAATACAAACAATTCAGTGCGTATGGTACGTACATCTAAAAAGAAAGCATTCTCGACAGCTAGTCGTTTTGAGGTGTTTTCATATGCGAAGTTACATTTTTTTTTTCATCTATGAATCCAGTAATAAGACCTGCCTTATTCTAAATGTCTTCGACAACATCAGTGAGAGTTATGTAGAAAAATACAAGGTGCATTATCGCCCTCACCGACCAAAGCAGTCACTTCCGCGTTTCCAATTCCAAAGTCTTTGCAGATCAATAATTGACAGGCCCTTATCCTGGTGCACAGCAAGGGACAAATTAAAAAAAAAACCCTCAGAAAAGGAAAAAAAAGTTTACATTTCTAAGCAAAGAAAGCCAAACAGTATTGACGAATATGCGTTCCATTTGTTAGATGGCGCCCCCCCTTAGTATAATGGTAAATTGTGTATAGTTGATTGATTTTTTTTTTATGATGGACTTCGTCTCTTTGGCAGTAAGCAGAAACGTTTTGCTCAGTTGAGATGTATTGCCATAGTAGCAAGTCATAATACTTTAAATGACTGACTGGTAAAACAAAGCTAAATTGGTTTTTATAAAAATAAAACCTATAGAGTTTCCGGAGGAAGCATATGACCTTCAGTCGGCCTTGTATATTTTTGAAGTTTTCTGTAAGCTCCCAGTTTAAATTATCGTTAATAATAATTCCTATATCTAGAGTCTTTACTTGACCACCCGTTTCGCGTTTTTAAATCAACAACATTTATAGGGTTGACGCGTTGTGTTGCCTATGAATGTCAAAACCATCTCCTCAGTTTTTATAATATATAATTTTAAATAATGGTCATACAGCACTGCACAGATTAGCTTCAAAGAATGTGGGTTAATTACCAAATAGCCAGTAAAACAACATGATGTAATCTGCCTATAGCAAAGAGTTATCGGAGCTTCAAAAGTTCTTGAGGCACTAAACATTATTTTCTTTCAAGATTATTATAAGGAAAAATTGATGATGATGATGATGATGTACACTCGAAAACATATTCAATTCAATTCAACCAGACTGTAGTGACACAGCTATGGTTAACATATTCTTAAAACTTGCTCCGTAGATTTCAGTGTAGATTATATGACTTTGCTGGGGAATCAGGATAGGATGGGATGGGATGGGGAATCGTGTACTGGTTTTGTGACATGTCTATAAAAATTGCGTGTGTACGATGAACCACTTACAGAGAAGAAAACGGATTGTAGGCGTACTGACCAATATGTTAGTAAAATTGTCATCTTGTCCTAGTCACACTTTGTATTCGTTTCGGTTATAAGCAAAGTGATCGGAAACACACTGAAATCAGTTCATAGTAGTGTATGAACGCAATCAGGGAGTCATGTGCTGACCTTATAATATAAAATATCCGATTGTGATCATTGGCCTACTATTTGTTAAACCTTGGTGTGTTTTGCTGGTCAAGTATTATTTTTAGATATAGTCAAAGTCGATGAATGCAATTATAGGATTGACACAACAATAATACAGTTCATGAAATTATCTTTATGTCTCAAAATTGTCCTTGCAATTCAATCGTATAATCGTAGGATATAGTTTAGATTTCGGTTTCATCGACACAATGATAACAATACATACCCAATTATATCACTCTTATGTAAGAAATATCAATTTTTTGTGAGTACCTGCACGAGTGGCGTTGCCGTAATGTTACCTAGAATTAATTAATCCACATTACTTTTTATAAATACAAAGTATCATAAAAATAATAAGAGAAAATTTTCAAGCTACAGAAAATCATAAAGACATAATTACTTATATACAGTACCGGTATAGGCCTATACAAAATGTCCAAAATTAATGTTAATAAACTCGTTAACTCATGACAATTTCCGCACTGTATACGCGTAAGACATTGTTGTTGAGATATGCGTAAGACATTGTTGTTAACACGTTACCTTTGACAAAATATTTGCACTAAGCGTATTCCAGTAGTTTAAATGCTAGGTTTGTCGGAAGTGACACAGGAATCTGGCGGAAACCAATCCCGCTATTGACTCGGACACTATATAGTACGATATACCGAGTAAGGACTTTAAAATTACCGACGAGTTGACATAAACAATTTGATTTGAACGACTCTACGTTGCCAATACTACTTTTTTTCCCTGTAAATTTATATTATCAAAATGATTATTGCACTGATAATAATATCGTTTCTTTTGGTATCATGCAGTGCCAAAGTGGATTTTCAGAATCAGCCTGTAAATATGGAAGTTATACTTGGGAAAACGACCGAACGTTTCGATTGTGTTTTAATTGCATCTGATATTTCTGAGTTAAAGGTTGGCTGGATTCATACGGATCTTAAAATGATAGAACGAGAGTACACTGTAGACGAAATCACGCAAAAAAATGAAAGGTACCACATCGTCGGTGATCCATCTATTGGTGATTTCTCTTTGCTAGTTTCAAACACAACTGAGAGTGATGCTGGAAGTTTTCGGTGCCGAGTGCGGCAAGCAGACGGTGTTGTTGTCAAATCTTCGAAAGGTATTCTCACTATTTTATTCCCACCAGCTGATGGGTACCCAAAGTGTAATTTCAATTCAGAGAATGACGTTACACTGTTGAATTGCATGGTGAATTCACAAGCTTCTCTTGTCGATATTACTTGGACTAGATCAGGAGAGACAAGCCCAATTGCAGAAGTTTTGAAATCAAGAGAACTTTCTACTTCGTTTACATTAACAAATAATGACAATGGAGTTGCATACCAGTGCAGAATCCGTGGTAATTCGGTCGACAGCGATCGGTTTTGTAATATAACTCCGATGAATCAACCTCCTATTGCAGAGTTTCGTTTTGGTTTAACCCACACAAGCACAAAAATAGGCGGCAATGTCACTTTAAAGTGTGATGGTAAAGGTAAACCATACGTCTCAAAACTTAGGTGGTATTATGGAAATCGTCTGATTGAGAAGACTTCAGGAAAATTTAAACTGTCGATGGACAAAACAATGCTTGAAATATCAGGAATGACAGAGATGGATCATGATAAACAAGTTACGTGTGAGGTAAGCATACCATCAGGGCTTGCCACAAACGTTACGAGATATATAAATATCTACAAAGTCGTTACCATAAAGCCCCAATCTATACCACCGGCAACTCAAAAAATCAGTGGTGACAAAAGTTTAATAATCCTAGTGACTTCATCAGTGGTAGCTATATGTATTTTACTGTTAATAATTCTTGCCATGTCGTACGAAAAATTTAAAAGATTATCACATGCTAGAACAGCATACCCAATAAACAGTGGACTTTTTTTAGGGATGCAAAACAATTCACCAAGGAGTTCGACTTTACAAAGTTACCAAAGACATTCATTTGCAAATGATCTCGGCATGCTGGAAGAGTCTGCTAAAATAGCTACTTTGCCAAACCAATCTGGTGGCTTTCAAACAGTCATTTGTTACCAATCAGGACCAGATTCTCCTGCTATATGTTATCCTGTTTCAGCGCCTGTGTCTGAGAAAGCTACAGATTCTCCATACTTTAAAAATACAGCCAAGCATAAAAAATCAGCATCTTTTTCATGTGAGAAGCAACAACGTGACTTAAAATGCAAAGCGCACAACAACTCTGTTCAGTGCTCATCAATGCATTCTTTAAACAATGTCTACGACACCATATCATCTGGAAAAAAAGCACATGATCGCACCGGTTCAATTTAGTATTGTTATTTTTTAACATATTGTAAAAATGTTCTATTAGGAATTTCAACTTAATCTAGCTATTTTATCTCTTATAATGTAAATAAGATATTTAATACGTGGTAATATTTTAAATAAAGTAAATATTAAAAATTAAAAAAATAGATAAAATGTGAAATATAAACTTGTACTAAGGCAAAAATTAATAATCAATTAAACATTTCGATGTTATAATCGTTGTACTTCTAGACATGCTAAATAATGAGCATTACAATTGTTAAAAAAAAACTGTTCTATGTTCTTGTAAATATTTCGAAAGAAGTATTTAGTTTAAACAAATATTTCACAATTTCTTATAAAGACAATTGGCTTTAGGATTATTGAGTTATATTTTTGTGTGACGTCAGACATGGCATGTTCGGAGAAATATTAAAATTATATCAAAGCACAATTTTTGATCCTGTTTGAGGAATTTGTATGCCAATTCCTAACACGTAATTTTAATGCGCATGAGTGTATAATGTAGAAAAAAAATCCACTTTAGCAAAATAAATATAAATAGTGAAACAAATATTCATAATGTTATATAATTGTTTGGAAATTATTTATTAGTATTATATCATATCTTTTATATCATACCATTTTTCATCAATATTTAAACACTTAGGATACAAAACAGTCAGGAAATTCCTATATTACAGATCACCTTAGTCACCTTATGTTGGTAATTTCAAGTTTGGTAGAGCGCAGCTACAAAAACAGTAAATCACATGGAAGAGTGACGCGCAGTTGATGCAATGATCTTAAAACCAATACCTTCAACAGAATAGCAAGTCATTTAAATTTAAATTATTGTTAAACTGTGAATTAAAACAGTCAGATATAAACAAAATTGATATTTATAATAATTATGAGCTTACAATACATAATTCATGTATTTATTCAAGTTTAAAAAAAACACAAATTATTTCTGAAATATCTACTCTACAAATTATGAATAATATAAAAAAAGTAGATACTTTACACAATATTATATTCTTTGAAGGGAAATAATATACATTACATTGGTTAAATATTAACCGCCATGCTACATTTATAAAGGAAAAATTATATGTAGTTTGATTATGATTATATATATGTTGAAAAAGCCTGTTGTTTTAAATTTTAAATCACTTAATCACGAATATACAAGATAATTTAGGGAATTGTTGAAACAAATTCATCTGGTTGTTTGTAGTAGTAGGTTGTAAAGTTATTTTAATCAATAAAAGTGAAGACGTACTTACAGAAGATTTCGAGACCTGTCACGTCTAATTTTCAACTGGCGTCTCATTAATTCAGTTTTGAACATATGAATAGAACATTTGAATTAAATCAAATCATTTATTAATTAATTTTTAGAGATCTTGTCATTTATTGAGTTTGACAAAAGTGAAAATATCCATACAATTCCGTTCTCAAATTGCACAAATATTACATGTAAGTCAGATAATAATAAAACAAAATTATTACAATACAATCAACGAGAACCGGGAGACAAAGAATAGAGTACACAAGAAAGAAGCAACCAAAGAAAGAATAACAAAAATGACCAAAGATCAAATGATGGACGGGACCAAACAACACAAATAAACGAGAAGCGACTTTCAAAACAACATGGATACTATATAAGGCCTCGATAATAAAATCCATTGGAATCATTACAAGTTAGGGAACAACCAGGAAACTTAACAACAATGAGTAACGTACATATGTTCATTAACTTTTTATTCCACAAGAACCACAGCCTGGTCTTTTCCACATCATTATCAAGATCCACACGCGTCCTCCTTTTCCAGACAAACATTTGCCAATGGCTCATCCTGAATACTGACTTGTTTAAATCTTCCTGTCATCCATGATGTAGTCATATCTTTGATTCCTTTTAGTATATAATAATATACATATATATACATGTATATATATATATATATATATATGAATCATCAAAGAAAGGTAAATTTGATTAATATATATATATACATATATATATACATATATATATACATATATATACATAAATATATACATATATATATACATATATATATATACATATATAAATTGCATAAATTAACCGCAGATAAGAATAATTGACATTTTATAAAGATATAGTAAAATAAATAATACACTTTAGTATTTAAATAGAAATAGCGCCACCTAGGATCTGTCTCTTATTATATATATTTTATATATTCTATATATATGATATGAATTATTTAAGATTCCTTATATATAATTGATTGACCTAATATGAGGTCAATCGATTATATATAAGGATTAAGACTGCTTATATATAATTGATTGACCTAATATGGTAATCGTACCATATCGTACACTACTTTATATACTTAAAAAAGAAACTGCGCTCAGATACTGGTTCTTCCTTATTATTACAATGTTATTTTACAGGTAATTGATTTCAAATATACTACGCAATGCCTTGATACAGATGCAGATTATTACCAAAGGCCTAGTATATACACTTATTTGAATAAAATAGATTTATGTCATACAACACACTTTGTTCAACTGTCTCACATGACTTTCAGAACTATATAAAGATGACGAAGGCCAGAGGTGAAATGTCAGTGAATGACTAGCGGAAGATACGCTAATCCTCTGAATTAGGAATATATCAACTTACAGTTATTTTAGGGTCAGATGGTATCAACATGGTTGTGTTCTATATAATAGTGTACACTATAATATATACTGTCTCCTATACTGTCTCCTATCAAAAAAATAGTAATGCTTGTAAAGGTATGGGATAAGTTGATATACGTAAATTGACGGATAGTGGGTTGCCAAATCAATATATGTTCAGACATAAGACAACCGTAGCTTTGTTATTTCAAAAACTCTATAATAATACAATTTATTTGTCATTCTAAGAAATATTTGCCAGAAAAGAGAATAAATAATTAGCCCGAACAAGGAACACTTTCTTCCTTACACAAAATTACAAAAATAGGACGGTACATGTTAATATATTCAAAAGGCAAAGCTAAAATGAAGAATTTATTAACTTCAGTATTTTGTAAATTATTATATACTTAATCTTCATTACTGTTTTGATTCCATCATCATCATTAGCAGTAAAATAATAATTGTAGTCAGCACAATATCCACCAATGACAGTTTTGTTTTTTTTTTCAATTAAGATTGAATTTTTTATTGATGTTTTTGTTTTGTTTTTAAAAATCCCTGAAATGACACTAGTGCATTGTTTCCACTTACAGAAGTTACGCCTTTGAATTGCTTCCTCTCTCTGTATCCGGTTAAAAAGATCTTCACAGAGGATTTCAATACTGACTTTGTATGCGGTGTTAAGGTACCAAATAAAATAGGAAATGATTCAAATACAGCGTCGGTGCTATTTTATACATAAATCGACACCACACAATTCGTCTTAAAAATCGTAATGACTGTTATTCAAGAAAGATGCTGATATTTATTCAAGCAATTTCACCAATCACGACTCGATGTTCTTCAAAAATCCAAGCTATGTCAGACAAGATATACTGTAATACTGTTGGTAATTTGTATTCTTGATTTAAGGTAATTTGTAATGACGTGATAACACAATATTGCTAACAAATCAACCAGTTAATGCAAGTTTTTTAGAGGAGTAAATACCAGTCGAGTAAAATTGATTTGATGTGATTTTATTGCAGTTGTAACATCCTCATAATAACTGTTTATTATTATTATTTTGGAAGATGTTTTACCGGATTATGCTATTTATGGTTACTTCATATTATAACTTTGAAGTAATATCAGGAACAATTAATGTTGAGTTTGTGGAAGACCCTTCAATGGTAAATACTATTAAGGCAGTTTACGGAACAGTCGCCTATATTCCGTGTATTGTTACTAGCAAGGAAATTCCATATTCTGTGAGATGGTTTCACGATGGTTCCGAAGTATTTGCATTTCATGATGATATCAGAGTTGGTATAAGAAAAGACAGATATAGTTTCCCGTCAGGGTTACAAAATGGCAACTTTACATTAAAGATCAACGATATTAGAAGAGAGGATAACGGCACGTTTTACTGTATTGTATCCTATAAAATTGGGTCAGGAAAAAGTTCAGGGCATGGTAGACTTCAGGTGTATATACCACCTGATGATGACTACCCACATTGCTCGCTTTTGTATAACAATGATGGAAGTCCCAAGCCAGGGGATTCGGTTAAATTGTCATGTATAACTCGCGGAGAAGATCCGCTTATACAGCTAAGCTGGTCGGATGCGGACGCTATAGTTATTCACCACGAAATTACGAACAATCTTATTAAAGCCGTCAGCTTACGAAAAGAAGATAATGGAAAGCCGTATACATGCTCAGCATCTGGGCTTGCCGTAGATCCTCCAAGAACCTGCACAGTAACCCCATTAATGGTGAGTCCCACGGTAGCGTTTAAATTAGCAAAGACCGATGTATATGAAGGTGAAAACATTCAGCTAGAGTGCCACGGACAAGGATTACCTGTAATTACAGACTATAAATGGTACTATGATGGTCAATTTGTAGGCCAGTCTTTTGAAAGATTTCAACTCTCGGAAGACAAGACTCGACTTGTTGTATCATATATTACTCTTAGTGATAAAGGCAAATACGTCACTTGTCGAGTGAGCGTAGCTTCAGGTTTGGCAAGCAATGTGAGTGAAGTAATTCAAGTGAGGGAAATTGTAACTAGCAAGCCAAATTTGCCATTAACGCCGATTGAAGAAGATAACAGTCTGCTAATAATAATTGGAGCTTCTCTAGGCTTTGTAATTTTGATTTTAATTCTGGTTATTGTGCAACTTTGTTATAGAAAAGTGCGCGATAGGAGGCAGCTGCATCTTCAATATCAGGACAGCATGTATGAGGAGATGAATGATTCCCGGTGCGATCGAAACTCCTTCGATAAATTGAGCATGGGAAGCCTAGGAGGCATAAGTCACATAAGTGGAAATCAGTACTTGTTCCATATTAATTCTCGGCCGGGATCACCTCTAGAAAACAGACGTCATTCATGTCACTCTATAACACCTCCGTTGAGAAATTCATTTTCACCTTCTAGGGCGAGTTCTCCATATTTAGACAGGCGATCATTCAAATCAAGCAGGTCGAATACACCACCAGAAACGCCGAACAAGACAGGGTCACCAGCTTCGGCTTATCTCTCTCCAAGAACAGCCAGTGAATCGCCATTTTTTCCGCGAAAGTCTTCAGTTAGAAGATCTCCATCTCCACAGCCAATTTCACCAGCAAACGGCGTAGAGCCTCCGTTTCTGAGGTCTCTTCATGATCACATCGTGGCTGATCCGGCAGTACCAAGTAAGCGGGTTATGGAGATTAAAGCCTCTGAAGGAATACCACTTAATCAAGTAGCATCGTCAATGAAGAACGAATGTTGTGGTTCAATGCCGCATCTTATGGAAAAAGCTGTTGAACAAACTTATGAAGAGATGCCCTTAACAAGAAAGGTGCGAGATTGGAGAACTACTTCCTTTTAAATAAACTTTTTAATAAACTCAAATATTTAACAAGTAAATTTCTAATCAAGCTGTAAATGTTGTATTTAATAGTAGTATCAAGAGATAACGATGAATTGCATAAATTAACCGCAGATAAGAATAATTGACATTTTATAAAGATATAGTAAAATAAATAATACACTTTAGTATTTAAATAGAAATAGCGCCACCTAGGATGTTTTGGGTTTGTTCGATTGGTAATGTTGGCATTATTGTACTTAATATTAGATATTAGTTTTAGGAAATTTTTCTCTTCCAGTGTCATTCCATAACTGCATTCCAATATAATCCACCTATTAATCAATATTACATTACCTTTTGTAAATGATTTTATTAAAACATTTATGAACCTTTAAAAAAATCTATTAAATCCATCATAAATAGGTTACAATTAATTAAAGTTAGATAAACAGGTAGAACAATGATAAATGTTATAATAATTATATGATTATAACAACGAATACAAGAGATTATTTAATTAACAAATACATGGCCTTTAAACCAATATATTTACAATGCAATTGTAATCATAAACATTTTACTTCGAACGTTGTTTTATTGTCCCGAATTATCAAAAATCGTAATGTTAAAATTATTCAAATAGGCCTACTACAAACTGTTCACACTAATGTTTACATTGTATGTGAAAGTACCTGTGAATTGCCCATATATGACTACTATGATGATGATGTCATATCACACCTACATGAAAGGAATTTGTCACACCTTGTGAGTGTGGGCAGAGCTAAGTAAGAGAAAGCTTGTTCACGCCGTCTGTGGCAGTTACAAAATTGTCAATCACCATTTTATAAAGTGATATAAATAAAACTCTTTTAGGGAGCATAATTAAAACTTTTATTAATTAATGTCCTCTGATAAAAAAAAAAATACCCTCCATTCTGTAATCGTAAGCCTGATAAAAACAGTTGATGTACACAACACTAAGTATTTTTTTGTAAAGAACATTATTCGATCCAGATTATTATATTTTTCGCAAAATTTAATGCAAAAGAAAACACAACATGTAGATGTAACTTGACTTTGACATTGACATCATGGTAAGTTTATTAAAATATCACAAAAAAATGTGTGCTGATACATTGGAAATATTTGATATAAAGGGCAACAAATTAATTGTGATGTTGTGAAATGCATTAATAGATATAATACATGGTTTCCCCAAAATGAACTAGAGATTAAAATTGTGCCTAATTGTAAGCTTGGCGATTACTGGGTAGTATCCTTGAGGTTCTTATCAGGAGGAGCAGCGTTCCCACTTTGGACAACATGGACCTCGACACAGTTTTGGCTGGTGCAGTAATTAACCCTTTTCCTCATACTAAAACATCCTGTACAATGCCTAGACCTACTCCTGTCAGATGTGATCCCATCGTTCCCTCATTGAGTACTCTGTAGTTTTCGTAGATTCACGAAGTCGGTAAATAATGTAGAGTAATCAAATTGTAGCTATTAAAGACTATTTAGTGTCTATTGTTAGTGTTATTCCCACTTCCTAGCATTCTTAAGTTATGTTATTGTTAGAGAATTACCGATAAACCTTCTCTTGAGAATTTTTGGTAAAATCGGACTTTCGTTAGTAATTGCAATTACCTACGACAATGTAGTCTGATATATCAATATACAAGCTGTAGCTAATATTGGATTTCAAATCAATGGCATTGTTGAAAGTTTTAGACCTACCATTGACGAAGTAGATCATGATATGTAATAAGTATAATAATTATTTCAGACATGAAAGACGTTACAATAGGTTGATAAAACATACATTATAATACGAAATCTGATCAAACATTTTCTTTTGAGTTTTACAGACACAATTTGAATTTGGTAGGCCTAAGTGTATGCCCATTTAAAATAAATTACAGTGTATCCTGGATGTAGACCGATATTACAGAAGAGTAAACAAGTGCATTGGACGCCTATGATTCTATCAGCGTCCTAATGATTATTGGTTTGCCTACTCATAAATAGGCCTACATGAGAAATGTTAAAAAGAAGTTTGGGAAATTATGATAAAGGTTTTTATTTATAAATTCACCATTCATTTAAAAAAAAAATTTGTACAGATATTTAAATAAAAATAAAATCCTAAATTAAAAACTAGTCGTTGCAAAGAACATAGGAAAAGTATTAATTAAATAGGCAACATGGTAATTGTTGTTGCAATTTTCATACAAACAAATAAATATACAAGGTAATGAAATTTCGATGAATATTTATTTTCATTTTTTAGCTCACCTTAGACAATATGATCTTTAAACAAGGCAAAACAACTTATAGAATTATTCATCATATGCTAACAATGAACAATAGACAACACCAACAAGAACATATTAAATTATGCAACACAGCAATCTATGTCCTTGGCGAACTGAATGATATTAAGAAATACACTATGCAAACTATGACATTATTATTGGCTCCGTAAAGCCCTCGTAAACTGTTACCGTACTACAGTTTGTATAGGCCTATACATGTATGCATAACTATTCCAGATTAAAGATTCTTTCCTTCTCAATATTATAACACAATGTATTTAGATTCTTTTCCTCAGTGAAATATACAAATGATACAAAAATACAAGTATATATACATAACGATACTTCGGTAGATTTTTTTTACATGAGTTGCCAGATTTGAATTAAGATTTATCAGCTCTGCCTTATGACGTCAAGCCTGCCAAACATAATAAAAATAACATTAATATTAGCCTAGTGCAGAAATAGAATATTATAAGATACTGCATTAAAATAATGAGTAATATCATATATTCCTTAGATAGTTTTTCGTATTTAGTATCTTCTGATTTCATCTCTAAAAATGTATATATAGATGCGCGGATATTCCTGTTGTTGCCAAACGTCAACAACCTTCCCTCTTCCTTATTTTGACAAATCTTGTCAAATGTTATCAATTTATATCCTTGGTGAACTGAAAGATATTAAGAAATACGCTTTGACATTATTAATTATTTTTGGCTCCCTAAAGCCGTCATAAACTGTTGGTCGTACCATGGAAGAATTAGTTTTGAACTACAGTTTGTATAGTCCTATACCTTCTATTTTCTCTATGATATAAGTAGATTAAAAACTCTCTCATTGTCAATATTATAACACGATGTATTGAGATTCCTTTCCTCAGTGAAATATAAAAAGATACAAAAATGTATATATTTTAAATGATAAATAATGATAGTCCTACAGTGTAGGTACATGAGTTGCCAGATATGAAAATTACCAGCTATGCCTTATGACGTCACGATACGAGCCTGTCAAACATAATAAAAATAACATTAATACAGTTAGCTTAGTGCAGATATAAAATATTATAAGATACTGCATTAAATAATGAGTAATATCATATATTCTCTAGATCTTTCGTATTTAGTATCTTCTGATTTCATCTCTACAATATAGGATATATATATATATATATATATATATGTATATATAGGCCTATACCGGTATATATATATTATATATATTTTATATGATAATTTTAATTATGAGATGCGTGGATATTCCTGTCGTTGCCAAACGTCAACAACCTTCACTCTTCCTTATTTGGAAAAATCTTGTCAACACATATTGTCGTAAACATCCTAACATGTAGTATACTCTATGAAATAAACGGTTCAATGTATACCAATATATTAACACAAGAGTCTAATAGGCGTATGTAATTTTGTGTGTTACTGATTTCAAAATAATAGTTTACATGCGTGATATTGACTACGGACTATGCCTATTATTATTATCGTCGACATGTACACAGATAGAGCTAACAAACGTGCTTTAGAATGTAACCATGCAACAAAATCTAAATATATTATATTCTTAAGAGTATACATCAAAGAGTTTATAGGAATAAAAGTGAATTGACTAGTAAATTGTATGAAAATTGTTTACGAAAAAATTGAAAGACCCGATGAGTAATATCTCCAGGGAAGAATTGGAACCGTACAGGGAGACTTCTGAGATTCGTGCATTCGTTGGCATTAGTTATGTTTTCCTTGTGTTAAAAGATACATTTTTACCATGTGCATTTTTGTCAAACGAGTCTGACTCATTTAGGGGCATCGAAGAGCCTTGGCAATTTGCTGGATAACTTTTGTTTGTGAAAGCCTGAGAAAAAAGTCTTTATTGCCCATTTACAGAGATCACAATCGTCGTATTAAAGGTCTTCAACCCTATTTCTATTGTTATTGCCATTATCATCATCATCATCATAATCTGACATAATCAGCATCGTCCTCCTCCTCCTCCTCTTCCTCCTCCTCCTCATTATCATCATCAACAACAACAACTGCAGCACCAGCACCACTTTCCACCTCATCGTCATCACTATGATCATCATCATATCATTATTGTTATTATTATTGTTCTTATTATTATTATTATTATTAATATTAATATTATTATTATTAATATTGTTATCATTATTATTATTATTATTATTATTATTTTTATTATTATTATTATTTTCCATTCACATTCAATAAATAAATTGTCTAAATATGATACAAATATGATGTTATTACTTCATTGAAATCTATTTACGATTCATGTCAAGACCTAGGGTTTGGCAAGCAAGTATCCTAACAGCCGATACTGTGTAACCCGGGACGTTAAGATTGGGAAGCGAGTATCCAAAAACAGCACATCACAGGACATTAGAATTCGAAAATGAACATCCTAACAGACAAATATAAATCACCAACATTCATCATTTTCCATTATTGATTTTGTTTTTAAAATGTTTATCAACTCGTGTTAAACGGTATATCAAATTATAGTATATCAGTATAGATATATATCAGTATATCAAAGTAAAAACCAAAGCTCACCAAAATTGTGCCTCATTCATCCAAGTACTTAAATTGATGTTATTTTGCAGAGCGCCTAAAGTTATGTTACCAGAGGGCCCGTCGCTGATTGAGATCTCCTGAGAATTGCCGCATGAAACCATTTTGACTGAAGAATACATTTTCATGTGGCATAGACAAGTGTTGAAGCCTCTTTCGGGCTCCGAGTGCTTGAGGGACCCGTTCTCTGCCGACATTCTCCATTCCTACTTGTCGTTATTGTTGGAATTCCGAGGGCCTTATAATAAATTTCAGCCTCTTCATCCTTGAGAAGTTTATACTGTTCTATATATACTAGTTTTAATAATTTTGATGATCTGAAAACGTAACGTCATCTTCTACCTATTGGGAACCATGCAGGGCCCCGATAGGGCCTTGTGCGCCTTACCCCATGGAAGCCCTAATATATGTAACCATACAAAAAAAAAATTGATTTAGATTATAAACATTAAAGTTTAAAGAGGAAAATCCTTGGATTCCTAAATTTAGCTTGGAAAAAGTCCATATTTTCTTTGAGACAGGACATATCTTTGTTGACATTCCCGATGACAAAACGCAGTTTTACTAATAAAAACTAACTAATAACTAATATGTGATTTGTGTCGACTTTGTTTACATAGCTACGGATCAATTTTAATATTGTAAATTTCGACATATATTGACATGAGTCTACCCGTCAATTATATATAAATTTGGAATATTGTTATGCATACCAGTGCCTAATATTGACGTTGTACTTTTAAGTTGAGAATAATATTTCAGACTAATATTTAGGTCCTACATAATATTTAACCGAGTCACGTTTGCAAATGGCAAAAAAATAAACCAACGTGGTATTAAATTAGTCGAAGGACAATGACCAAACACATTTATATTTTGTTTGAAAATATGATCATTAAAACTACAGAATCATATCCTCTCCATTTGTTCTAAGATAATAATCTTTACGGAGATGTCATGGTGTATAATTATGTCTAAAACATTGCACAGTACAGTACTTGTAACCGACTTTTTCCTGGAATATGCATTTGGCTCTTGACAGGGGCAGAAGACGGGAATAGAGATGAGAACGGTGGTTAAAATAGCCACTTTAATTTGATTCGAAGGACATAATAAGAAAAACAGTTGTACTATTACGATACGTCCCCGTTTAAATTTGAATCCATGAGATAATATATATATCTGTCTCTTATACACATCTCAGATAGAGC